TTCTCCCTCCCCTCACGGGTGTCCCGTTTCCTCCCCACTGTGCTCCCTCCCGGTTTGTCCCAGTACATCCCAGTGTGTTCTGGGGGGCCACGTGCTCCCCAGTTTGTCCCGGTACTTCCCAGGGCTCCCCAGTATCTCCCAGTATGTTCTGGGGAGGCTCGTGCTCCCCAGTATGTCCCACCATGTCCCAGTATATTCTGGGTGCCACGTGCTCCCCAGTTTGTCCCAGTACTTCCCAGGGCTCCCCAGTATCTCCCAGTATGTTCTGAGGGGGCTCGTGCTCCCCAGTATCTCCCAGTACTTCCCAGGGCTCCCCAGTATCTCCCAGTATGTTCTGAGGGGGCTCGTGCTCCCCAGTTTGTCCCAGTACTTCCCAGGGCTCCCCAGTATCTCCCAGTATGTTCTGAGGGGGCTCATGCTCCCCAGTATGTCCCACAATGACCCAGAACATTCTGTGGGCCACGTGCTCCCCAGTTTGTCCCAGTACTTCCCAGGGCTCCCTGGTGTCTCCCAGTACTTCCCAGTATGTTCTGGGGGCCACGTGCTCCCCAGTTCGTCCCGGTACTTCCCAGGGCTCCCCAGTATCTCCCAGTATGTTCTGAGGGGGCTCGTGCTCCCCAGTTTGTCCCAGTACTTCCCAGGGCTCCCCAGTATCTCCCAGTATGTTCTGAGGGGGCTCATGCTCCCCAGTATGTCCCACAATGACCCAGAACATTCTGTGGGCCACGTGCTCCCCAGTTTGTCCCAGTACTTCCCAGGGCTCCCTGGTGTCTCCCAGTACTTCCCAGTATGTTCTGGGGGCCACGTGCTCCCCAGTTCGTCCCGGTACTTCCCAGGGCTCCCCAGTATCTCCCAGTATGTTCTGAGGGGGCTCGTGCTCCCCAGTTTGTCCCAGTACTTCCCAGGGCTCCCCAGTATCTCCCAGTATGTTCTGGGGGCCACGTGCTCCCCAATTTGTCCCAGTACTTCCCAGGGCTCCCCAGTATGTTCTGGGGGGACACACGCTTCCCAGCTTGTCCCAGTACTTCCCAGGGCTCCCCAGTATCTCCCAGTATGTTCTGGGGGCCACGTGCTCCCCAGTACGTCCCACAATGACCCGGAATATTCTGGGTGCCACGTGCTCCCCAGTTTGTCCCAGTACTTCCCAGGGCTCCCCAGTATCTCCCAGTATGTTCTGGGGGTCACATCCTCCCCAGTTTGTCCCAGTACTTCCCAGGGCTCCCCAGTATCTCCCAGTATGTTCTGGGTGCCACGTGCTCCCCAGTTTGTCCCAGTACTTCCCAGGGCTCCCCAGTATCTCCCAGTGTGTTCTGGGGGCCACGTGCTCCCCAATTTGTCCCAGTACTTCCCAGGGCTCCCCAGTATCTCCCAGTATGTTCTGGGGGCCACGTGCTCCCCAATTTGTCCCAGTACTTCCCA